TGGAGCACTTGCACACATTATTGAATCTAGTGGAGATGGCATGGGACCATGTGAACTTGAAGCAAGTGTTGAATTTGGTGGAGCATCATGTGTCAATGGCACAACATGTGGGCCATTTGCAAACAAAAAATCATGCGTTGATAGTGGAGCACCATGCAAATCAATAGCACGTGAAATGTTTTCACGTAATGGAGCTTGCATTCGTAATGGAGCTTGTATTGAAGATAATGGCTCAACACGTGGGCCACTAGGAATCAAAGATAGTGGAGCATTCACGCTTGTTGGAGCAGCTCCTATTCTCATATGCGCATGAGCTGGTGGCATGGTCCCAACTCCTTGATTATCGGCATTAATTGAATACAATGGCGCAGAATGTGGTCCATTTTCAATTAAAAAATTATGTGTTGAATGTATTGAAGGCGCACACGTAGGGCTATTTGCACGCATTGTTGGAGCACTAGTCGTTGGAGCACTCATTGATGGAACATGCATGGTCATAAGAGGAATATCGCCTATGGAGAATGGAGCATTTGTTGGAGCACGTGTTGATGGACCTGGCATTGTCTGTACAAGAGAGACAAGAGGAATATTAGTTATGGAGAAAGGAGCACTAGTTGATGGAGCAGGTGTAAGTGGAGCATGTGCTAGTGGAGCATGTGATGTTTGTACAGGGGAGACAAGAGGAATAATACTCGTGGAGACATCATTATCTGGAGCAACACCTGAAAAATTACACACTGCAAAAGGAAAGTCACTTTCATCAAATACAACGTGCCTCGAAATTTTTACTCTGCCTGATTCATCAAGACATTTGTACCCCTTATGAGTAGTGCTATATCCTAGAAACATGCACTTCTTCGACCTGAAATCCAGCTTATGACGATTAAATAAACGTAAGCAAGGATAACAAGCACAACCAAACACCTTGAGAAAAGAATAATCTGGCAAGGCACGATGCAGAGCTTCAAATGGAGACTTGCCATGCAAAACAGGTGTGGGTAACCGATTGATAAGATAAACAGCAGAAACAAAGGCATAGCTCCAAAATTTCTGAGGTAAAGAAGCCTGAGCTAACATTGTCAATCTTGTTTCCACAATGTGCCTATGCTTCCTCTCAGCCTTACCATTCTGCTCCGAGGTGCCAGGGCACGAGAGACGATGCTGCACTCCATTGGCAGAGAACCACTTTTGAAGTGGTTGATATTCCCCACCACCATCAGTCTGGAGAGCTTTAATTTTGTATCCAAACTGCACTTCAACCAATTTCGCAAAGTCAAGAAAGCACTGAGCCACCTCGGATTTGCGTTTCAAGAGGTACACCCAGGTATAACGACTATAAACATCAACAAATGAAACATAATAAAGAAAACCATCAGTGGAGCAAACAGGAGATGGTCCCCAAACATCAGAGATAACAAGTTGAAAAGGCTCATTATATTCAGTCAAAGATTTACAAAAGGGAAACTTATGAGACTTCCCTTGCATACAAGCAGAACACACACTCATTGCTTCGGTTTTATTGAAAACAATACTACACGACTTTAAAACACGTTGAACAATATCAAGAGATGGATGGCCAAGACGGTGATGCCACAACTTCAAAGACACAGATGACTTCGAGACATTATTCACCAAACAAGAAGACCTCTGATCCTCACAAGGCAGCAACTGATATAGCCCATCATCCGTGAGCCTCCCGCGAAGCAGAACCACTTGAGTCCGAGCATCCTTCACAAGACATTCAGAGGGGTGAAATTCCATGAAGACACCATTGTCACGAGTGAACTGAGAAACAGACAACAACTTTTTCTTTATGTTAGGTACGTGCAACATATTTTGTAAAATTAAACGTTTCCTATTTGAGCTCAAAAATCCTTGACCAACATGTGTAATTGGAATACCATCACCATTACCCATGAGCAAGGAATTACCACCCGTATAAAGAGTACCTGATTGAAACCCAGACAAATCATTTGTTACATGATGTGTAGCACCAGTGTCAGGATACCACAAGGAGTCGGTCGATGCTGAAGAACAAGTCCCGGAGTCTGTTGGAACAGGGGACGCATATGCTGCTGAACTAGGAGTCAAAAAGGAAGGGTATGTACCATGAGGACCACAAGAGGTATTCGAAGCAAAACCAGGAGAAAAGCCAGGAAAGGGGTAATATCCAGGAGCATACGAGGAAGGAAAGTAAAACGGAGTGGGAACAAAGTTCGAACGAGAAGGCATGGAGGTTACGGTGTGAGCATAAGGTTGTCCACCAGATTTCGAGTGTTTAGTGGAATTCCCAGCACCAGTGGGCTTCGAGCCATTCTCTTGCATCGACTCAGACCCAGACACACCAGTGTAGTCTCTATCAAAACGATGATAACACTTTTGGACCACATGTCCAAACCGGCCACACAACTGGCATTGAGGACGATTATTATTACGCCCTCGACCTCGACCACGATATCCATTCAACTGTCCATGAGATGAATGATCCTGCGATGACCCAGTATTAACATCCTGAGTTCCACAATAGTCAGTTTCAGCAGCAGCACCTTCCCGAGAGTGAAGAACAAGATTTGCAGAGAAATTTTCACTCAAGAACATCTTCTGTCGAGCCTCACAATCTAACAACATCTCAGTAAGAACATCAAGAGAAAAATTTTCTCGTGATGCAATTGCAATAATGGACTCAAACTCTATTGTAAGTCCAGCTAACACAACATTAACATGTTCTTGCTCAGTAACCACACTACCGGAAGCATTCAACAAATCACATATAGATTTGACTTTGGCAAGATACTCCCTAATCGTCAAACCAGTCTTTCGTTGGAAATGAAGATTATGCCGAAGAGAAGAAATCTTGGCACTAGAACGAGCACCAAATAGACGAGATATAGTATTCCAGATTGACATTGCAGTTGTAAGTCCGGTCAAGTGAGGTAGAACCTCTGTACTTACAGTAGTTAAAAGCCAGGAAGCAAGCAGTTTATCTTGCTGGCGATGAGCTGCAAACACTGGATTCTCTTCAAGCTGTCCAGACGCATTAGTGATGAACTCATCTGGTGCAACAGAATCGGCCAAGATGAACCTCAGCAACCCATAGCCATCAATTATCAAAGCCACTTGATGCTTCCAAAGAAGGTATGTGGATTCACTGAGTTTAACAGTGTCATGCTTTGGTATGTGTTGAATGGAAAACATACCTCGAGAAGTTCTCGGACTCAGGGAAGAAGCATTCGGAGACACATCCTCGGGATCAACCGTCAAATCAACCATGATGCCAAGAATTACACGAGACTGGAAGCTTAATCTCGTGAAGCTTCTGGAAAGAAGTAGAAACAGCGGAAGAAAACACCCAGGTATTGGCGAAAGATACCATGATAAGATAGCACTTGAGCTATCTAAGAAAGCAAGAAAGAAACTGAAAAAGTTATGTAATCTTTATTAACAAGAAGTTGAGCTCTCTTGAATTAGAGAGAAGCTATTTATACATATAAGAATGGTAGCATCTGCTGTTACAACAAACTGTTAGCAGCTCAACAACTTAACTGCTACAAGATAACAAACTATTCTAGAACTACAACATATCCATAAGCACATGTTCATAACACTAACACGGCCAACCTCGGTCTGAATCACCTGACCACCAATATCGAAGTGAAGTCATGAATAATATTCTCCCGGAGAAGAAAGCATCCCATAACATACGTCGGAATAGCCTCCCCACAGATTTGATATAAACAGCCCGGCTCCCATACGATAGTGTGCGGTTAGTCCATCCCCGGACTATGGAGGACGGTTTATCGCGAAGGAACCCAAATGCAGTAGTTCGATTCTGACCAATTACCAGCGGCATACCTAAATATGAACCTAGTTCGGTTACAATATTAACTCCAAGAATGGAACTCAGCGTTATACACAAATTAACAGGAGTAGACGGACCAAAATAAATGCTCGACTTTGCATAGATCACCTTCTGGTCAGAGGCCCTTTCATACATATCAAGCACTGCACGCAATCGGGCAAATTCATCGGTTGAACAACGGAGGAATAATAAACAGTCATCAGCATAAAATAAATGTGTAATACGAGAACCGCCACGCAAACTTTGAATATGCAATTTATATTATTTATTCGACTTTTTATTGTTGATCGATTCAACACTAATCCAATTTGATTTATATTATTAATTGTTAAATAATACTTGCATAATTTTGTTTATTTTTTTATTATCATTTGTATAGTTATATGCAACTTTCCCATAACCGTTGACAATTTTTTTATATAAGACCTTGATGTAATTTTGATCATAATCATTATTTAATATAATTTATTTATGAATTTATGGAGTGATATAAATGGTAAAAGCGAAAGTTATTCTTCTTAGAAGATTTAAGAATAGTAGTTTCGGTGTTTGCTTATTTGCGTCGACTGAAATGATTATAAAGTAATATTTGTTCATATATTTTTTTAATCTATTGACATTGCATAAACACTCAATAGATACATTGTTCGAACCTGGAACCTCTAAAGAGAATAATATTTTCTTCACCACAATAAATTCTACTCATAGTATTTTAAATAAATAGGATTACATATATTATTTTCTTAAAAAAATTGTTTAACATATACTTATATTATAATATAATTTATTTTATAATTTAATGTAATAATAATAATTTTATAGTTAACTAGTTTTTATTTTTTTTTAATTGAAGTCCCTTGATTTGTAAAAATTATTATATTTGGTGTTCAAACTCAAAATCTTAAAGAATAAATGGACATCTTTTAACCAATTAAATGGTTTGATTTGTAAAAATAAATAAAACTTTTTTTAACATTGTTAACTGAATTTCATTAATAAAAACAATGAAATGAATCAGAATTACAAAGCACCTAAACATAAAGAGAAAATTGGAGATAATAATCAACAAAAACTCATACAAAAAATAAAAAATATTAAACTCAAGGATATGAAGAAAAAATGGAACCTTCCATTGACAACGATGACCAACATCAAAAGAACCCAGCGAGCCACTTTACCAAGTGATAAAAAAGTGGTAAGCAAACCAAATTATTTGGCAGGATACTTCGTAACAAAATTCTGATTATATTGACAAATAACTTTTCACCATATAGGGATTTGACTATACGTGACACAAGAACAAATATTCTTATGTAAAATTAAAAAAAAAACTCAAGAGAAATTAAAAGAAAATATATAATATTAAAAAATAAGAGAACTAATAATCACCAAAAGTTGAGAAGTAATATTAAAATTGATGTCGTATACAACAATCTAAATAAAAATAAAATGAAAAAAAGAGGACACAAATTTTTAGGAAGAGAAGTTAAAGAAATGCGAAGGCGGCTTAATGATTCAAAAATGAAGTGAATTTTGCTTTAAAAAATAAATAAAACATGTAAGATAAATTAATAATTTTCTAATTACAAGAGTAGATATATTCTATACAAAACCTCATGTGAGAAATAGTTTTATCCTTTATAATAGAATCCCGTTAATATTAGCGTAAGTCGGTAATTACTATCTGGCGCTGAACAGACACTTCTTGGAGAAGCCGAGTCGTTAAGCGCCGCACTTCACTATTTCTTTGGCGCAAAGCAGGAGCCAAGCCCTCCCCCACATCCCTCATCTATTGGAAGACTTTTCCTCCATCCACCTTTCTTTCATCAGATTAGTATAGGTTTAAACTTCGGGTAAAGTACAAAAATGATCTCTCAATTATAAGATGTTACTTTTTTGAGTCACTTGATTATTAAAAGTTACAAAATGGTCTTCAACTATATGATGTTGATTTGTTGAGTCTCTTGATTATTAAAAGTTACAAAATGGTTACTCAACTATTCATATATTCTAAAATTGTCCTTAAACGTTAAAAAATCGCCGAACGTCTGAGCTTGACGTTAACATGTTGATTAGGATATGATAATCATTTGAGATTATGGGATAAAATTTTATCATATCACAGTTAGAATGTTAACTTTCAACTCAGAAAGTCGTCAATCTTTTTAACAGAAAATGATGAATTTGGAACATATGAATAGTTGGGTGACAATTTTATAACTTTTAATAGTCAAAGGACTCAATAAAGTAATGTCCTATAGTCGGGGACCAATTTGTAATTTTTAGTAGTTGAGGACTCAAAAAAGTAATGCCTTATAGTGGGGGGACTCAACAAAGTAATGCCCTATAGTCGAGGGACTCGAAAAAGTAATGTCCCATAGTCGAGGACTATTTTATAACTTTTAAACTTAACAAAACAACATCCTATAATGGAAACTATTTGTGTACTTTACCTCAAACGTTTTTGGTTGATTTTTTAGTTATTTGATTTTAAAAGGCCAATTTACTTCACTTCTTAACATATTTTAATTGTTCAAAGAGCTAATAATAATGTTATTTCATATCATTGTTTGAATGTAGAAGACATAAGAGATGAACAAAAGTTTATTTTGTTATACTTATAAATAGGGTAAAGTATATAAATGGTCTTCTGATTATAGGACATTACTTTGTTGCGTCCATCAACTATTAAAAGTTATAAAATGGTTCTCTGACTATAGGGTGTTACTTTGTTGAGTTCTTCGACTATCAAAAGTTACAAATTGGTCACTCGACTATTCATATGTTCCAAACTAGTTCTTTCATGTTAAAAAATTTATAGTTAATCTGAGCGCATGTTAACATGTTACATGTGATATGATAGTCGTTTGAGATTATGGGATCCGATTTTATCATATCTCAATTAGTAGGTTAACGTCCAACTCAGACTATTTTATCATATCTCAAAAGTTATGAAATAAACGTCAATTTTTAATGAAAAATGACAAGTTTGGAACATACAAATAGTCGGATAACCATTTTTGTAACTTTTAATAGTTGAGGACTCAACTAAACAACACATTATATTCGAATGATTATTTCATAACTTTAATAGTCAAAAAACTCAATAAAATAGTAGTCAATGATCATTTATGTAATTTACCCTTAAATATTCGTAGTTGATTTCATATATACGCCAACACGTTTGAGCCGAAAATTCGGTTCCAGCTGTAAAATGAAGAAAATAGGTAACATGGATGGGGGCAAGAGACGCGGTCATCTCCTTGTCCTGATCAAATCTACAAAGCCTTCGAGTATAAGCTAAGCAATCCTTTTTGAATTCTTGGGTATTATAAATACCCTTATCTTCATCCGAACAATTTCTCAACATTTCTCTTCATTTTCTTGTTTGATTCTGGGTTTATGAGATGAGCAACGTTCCCAGTTCTTTAACAGACTCTTGTTTTACCCTCTTCAAACTTGCCATTTCTTCATCTGATCCCTGGCCTTTCTCCTTCGTTTTCTTCTAACACACAGACCTTCTTTTGGTTAAAAAAATGGGGATTATTGGAGACAAAACAGCACGTGAATTTCCACCTTCATCTTCATGCGTTTCACTTCCATCATCATGAGAACAAGGAGCTCAAAGATGTTCCAAAGGGCAGTCTGGCAATCCTGGTGGGTCAAGGTGAAGAACAACAGAGGTTTGTGATTCCTTTGATGTATATTACCCACCCGCTGTTCATGCAACTGTTGAAGGAAGCTGAGGAAGAGTATGGATTCGATCATGAAGGTCCCATCACCATCCCTTGCCATGTCCAGGAGTTTCGCGATGTTCAAGGAATCATCAACAAAGACCACCGTCACCATCACCATCATCATGTCTGGTGTTTTTAATTAATCATCAATTCTTGAAATGTCATCATGCTGATTTGTTTTATGTTTTTTTTCTAGTGTTTTAAAGAAAGACAATGAATGATGGGATCATTCTTTGTACATAAAATTCATTTGTGAATGTGAACATATTATAAAGCATTAACGAATTGTTTCCTTGACGTGTAATGGCGTTTCGTCCATCATTACGATTTGCTTCCCAACTGCATGATTTTAGAAACGCGTTTTTTATTAAATACCAAATATCCATGTTATTATTTTAAGATTTAAAACTTACTTTCATATTTTATGTTTTGTATTTGAAAGTATTTTTTCACTTATTTCTATTTAATTTATTTTAATTGTTGGTCTAACAATTATAAAAAAATAAAATATTTTATTTTATTATGCTTATAGTTTTTATTAATTTATTTTTAAACAATTTAAACATAAATAATTCAGCAATACAAATTTTCTATTATTTCTATATATATTTTAAGAGACATTGATAGAAAAATTATAAACACATAGATAAAAGTTTATTTTGCTTTTTCCATAATTATCGAGTCAATAGTTAAAGATAAAATTAAATAAAAGTTAAGGTGGAAATACTCAATATCATAAAATTAAAGTGTATATACTATGTTTTTTTATTTAACCATAAATATTTAATTTACTAATTGAATAATTCATATTGAGTATTATAAGAATGACTATGTCAATCTAATTTATTCCGATCACATCGTTAATATTTTAACATTAATCCATCTTACTATACTAAATATGTATTAGTATTAATATTAAATTTCAAATTAAAAAATCTGACCTATTTAAATTAACGGGTTTTTTTCTATATACATATAAAATCATCTGATTAATTCATTACTGTTTCGTTAGCTTTCTGACAGAGTATAAAACATAAACATCCCTTTCCAATGTCTTATTATTGCAAAATGAAAGAAGGAATATGGTATAATATAAAGGTAATAGCAGGAGAATATTACTTCAAAATATTGGAAGAAGGGATATGGTATAATATAAAGGTAATATAGCAGGAGATTGTCAGCAAATTGATGAAGCAGGCAGCCAACCCACATGGCTTTTGGGGTATTTTTCATAGGCATATTCCCAATTCTCTATTTCACTTGATGCGTGTGATTTCCAGCTAATTTTGTTTGCCATTTTCAAACCAACTTGCTTGACAAGTGGCTTCAAAATCAATTTCCTTTTATTGGCTCTCCAATTTGACTTTTATTCCCACTTGTTTCTTTTTTATTTAAATTTACCCAAGATTAATCACGAGGTAAGGATGGTACTTTTCTACAAGAAACCAAAACACTTTTTAAATAGAGATGGTAAATGGCTCGTTCCAATAAAATCAGGTTATTTTAAGTTTGGTTTTAGAGTACATTCAATTTAAATTTGATATGAGTGTGATCGGATATTATTCCAATTTAATTCATATCTATGGTAAGTCAGATCGGATTGAGTCAATTTTCGAATCGAGTCAATATCGAATTAATTATCTTTTTGATTTGGGTCATATCGGATCAATCAATACCAAATAGGTTGGATTTCAGATCAAGTTAACCTTTAATTTTCAAGTCAATTCGGGTTAAGTTAGATATTATCTCACTTAAGTGTATATAAAATTATAGATATATTCTTGTAAAAAAATTGTTTTTCAATCTTATCATTTACACTTAATTTCATTCAAATGAAGAGTATAAAAATTTAAATTTGGCCAAACTAAAAGTAAATGATCTAAATGCCCAAAAAATCGAGACTAATCGTACAATTTCACCCCAAAAAAAATTACAGGGACGTTATTGGTAAATATCGCCTATGCAACAAGGAAGAAAAGCTGAAGTTCTGACACAATTGGGCAAAAGCCAATTCTTTTGAAAGGGCTATTAACCAGTAACACCTTCGCGTAATGGGTGTGGGAAAAAATAACTAAATATTTTTTTGGTTAAAATTTACTAAAACAGAAAAAAATCCCTATATCAAAGGTCTTATAATGCTATCCACGCCTTGTAGTGGAAGCTCTAATTGTGAATCCATGTAAAAATTTCGTATACCCGAGGTTCCTGTCCGAACCTCTTATTCAATCTCTAAGAAAAGAATGAGCAGATGGACCCAGATTTAGTTCCTGTGACAAAACCAACACGATGACGACCTCGGAATTGGATTCGACTCGAGTTTTATAGGAAAACATATGAGCTACATACCAGTGCCAATTCCTTCACTGAAATGGCCTTGTTCCCTTCTTGTTCGAAATACTCGAAGGCTTTCCTTGCAATACTCTCCAATTCTTCAAATGCTTCAAGCTGATATACACTGATCGTTGCGGCACAGAACTCTTCGAAGTCCATCTTCTTGTAATACAGTGGTTTCATCTTTAAACAAATTAAAACCATAAGAGATGTGTATACAAAGAGATGATAGGAACCGAATATTATCCGTGCACAGCTTTGCTATCGGTGCTCCAAAGCAAAGAAACCACTGGAACATAAAAAATGATATCTCACCACATTTTATAAATGTTGAAAACTCTCGACTCCTGCATGGCATCAGTTTTATTCCTCATTAGGGCCTGCAATTTTTCACAATGATGATCGTGAAAAATCACATGCAAAGTGTAGATGGACATCAAATTGAAAGCAATAGGTTTAAAACTAGTCTGCAGCTACAGAAAGCCTGAAAGTAGCTACGTCTTTAGTCATAAAAGTTGGAAAGAAGTAAAATAGTAAAACCAAGAACTAACAGCTTTAAAATTACTGAGGGACACGCATCCATCTTTTGGTTCTAAAAGCCTAAACTGTGTCATAAGATTCACATGTGCATCATCCGGTAAAGCTTTCGAAAGTGCCTGCAACCAACAAAACATTAGAAGAAATGCTAGAGAGTAACCCCGTGCAATCATATTATTGAACGCCTGCCTATATATAACAAGCATAACCATTTTGCTGATTCAAACATTTTTCTTTTCAGATACTGTATTATTTTTCAACAATTTGTCCTTTTACTGATTAAAGGAACCGGTGATTACCTTTAGTGCTGCTCGTTTGAAAGGGGTAGCACGAATATATCACTTGACAAACTTGTAGATCAAAAATATCCAAAGGCACGGCACAATTTTTATCTCGTAACCATGGATGAGCTGACAATATAGAAGTCCTTATTAGTTTCCAAGATTATATATAATTTCACTAGCAACTTCAAATCAAAGTTGTAAATATGATATGGCAAGAGAAAGAGAGGGAGCATAAATTCTAAAAGCTGCTTATACACGAGGTCTTAACCTAAATATAGCTTTTAGTAATATGAATTACCTAAATCTTGGGCAGCAGTCATTCTTTTCCGGCGATCCTTGTTCAGAAGCCTTTTCACAAAATCTTTGGCTTCTGATGATGCAGAAGGCAGGGTGAATCATAAAAGTTAGGATCAGCTCTGAGCACAGAACGAAAAATTCCTGATTCAGTCCTAGCCCAGAAAGGTCTGCTCCCACACAACAATATATAAGTTATGACATCAATACTCCACATATCAGCTTCAACACTGTAAGATCTATGTAGTACTGCCGGTGCAACATAGTATACACTGCCAACAACATCATTGAGACCTTGATCTGCAAATGAATGAAAACTGAATGCTTTGTGTTTAAACAAATTGTCGATAAATTATATGATATGGAGGGGAGGGGAGTCGTCCGTTACTGGATTCAAACATTTATGTCAACCTGAGATCGAAAGCCTTTGACAAATGGAACGCCAAAATTTATGCAAATATAGCAAAAGGAAATTAACTCTTACCTGGCCTAATAAAATCAGATAAACCAAAATCAATAATTTTCATTGGAGCATCCTCATCTCTTGTAGTAAAAATAAAATTCTGAAAAACAGACGACGTTGAAATAAATAATTGGTTAATAACTAGAACTTGATCCAACAAGAATAATTGTGTCACATATTAACAATAAAACACAGCATAGAACTAAATTAAAAATGAAGTATCATATTCCTCCATGCATACCTCTGGTTTTAGATCACGGTGAACAACCCCTTGAAGGTGGAAAAAGGCAACTACACTTAAAATTTGCACAATTATTTTTTGAGCCTCCCTTCAGTGTATCTACCGCATCTGCAACAAAGGAACAATATGAAACATAATCATAACTATGAGTTTAAGAATTGCCTTAAGAAGGTACAAGAGAATAAAGCAGTTCTTCAATACCTAGATAAAATTCTATCAATTAGTTCTCCACCTTCGCATAATCTGACAACAAAAGAATATTTTACTTTTAAGTTGTAGAATGCACGCCTATACCAATTGCAAATTAGCTTAAAGACAAGTTCATATGCATGATGCATGTTATTTGATATTCTGGCTTAATTTACATGCATGATGCATATTATTTGATATTCTGGCTTAATTTATATGTATGATGCATGTTATTCAATATTCTGGTGCAACGCTTCATTTTAATCGGTTCATCTATAAAAAGGTAACGGACATGCATGATTGGTGATAAGATTAAACTTAAAGATTGAGGAAGGACTGCGACAAATAATAAGAGATCTTAAAATAAACTATAGCAAGAACAAACATACTCCATGACAATATAGACATTATTAGCATCCTCAAAAGCATCTTGAAATTTGATCATGTGTTTATGACCAGATAAGGCTTTCAGTATATTGACCTCACGCCGAACATCTTCAACTGATATTGCTGTGGTCATCTGCCAAATAACATCCAGTCAGCGATTCTTCTCAAAACCATTAACCAATCCTGAGTGGTGCATTTTGTCTAAAAATAAAATGTTAGTTAAGAAGCATGAAGTGCAAAGCGACGATTGCAGAAAATATCTCAACTTTACCAATCTATCTTTAGAAATCTTAATTGCATCACCTCTTAAATACATTAAAGTAAATAAATAAGTAAAGCATGCAGCTATGTTTTTCGACTTCAATCAACGAGTTTAGAGTTCAGAATTCAGATCTTCATGCCATCTGCAAATTGCATTGAAGATAGCCCCCCCCTTTTTCACAACACACACAGCAAAAAAAAAAAAGCACACAAAGGTTTGTTGATAACGTAAATACCAGTTTTTCCTCTCTTTTGAAATTTTCCAATCTTTGCAATATACATCCGAATTTTGAA